GGTGCATAATGTCGCTAAAATCATCAAAATACCGAAAATCCGGAGGTACAGTTATATGGGGGCTATACCAAAACCTGGACCTACATGGCCGATTTTCAATACCAAAAGTCCTGCACACATAACAAACACTTGAGTAAAGTTTTATCAATCTACTTTCTGTGGTGCGGAAGCTAGAGCTATTTCCACAGACAGATAGACGGACGGACAGAGCTAAATCGACACAGAATTTTATGCTATATTAAATTTTTCTCTGTCTTATTGTCGCTTGACGTCGTATTGGTTCTGTTTTCTTTTTGTTATAAATATTTAAATCGTAAAAAAATAATATGTATCCAATTATGTATTTACAATTACAACTCTCTGCAATAGGTTGCTTCTTATGCTGCATTTTCATAATTATTTTTCCGAAGAAAAACAATTTGTTCAATTTCTTAAATGAGCCGTGTAATTTCTATAATTGTATTCGCACAAACTTTTGTTCGCACCGAACGAAAGAAATCAGTTTACCAACAAATATTGCATTCTTTTCGATATATTTGTTCGGAATTGTTTGACTTCTGCTGCTGATGTTGCTGCTGCTGCGTGACAGTTGTATCTGATTGCTGTTATTTCATTTGTTCGCATTGAACTTTTTAACAAATTAAGTGAAAGTTTTGCTTTGCTACCTTGATTTCGATTGTTATTGCTTAAATATTTATTTTCATTGCATTCGGGGTATTACACATTCCAAGTCATTCAATCGTTCATTCGTTCGCTCGTTCGTTCATTCGTTTGTTCCTTCATTGTCTTTGACATATGTCAGGTAATTTCTTGTGATGCTTTATTTCGTCCTTCCTTCCTTTCTCCCACTCTCCACGTTGGCTTGTATTTTTGCATTTACTTTTGAACAAAGGTGGAAAAAATACATTTTCTTTCCTTTCTTCGGCTGCTTCAGCAATATTTTTCTTAAGTTTTCTTCCGAATTCATGACAATTTGCAATTACAGCTGTCAGTGTGGCTGAATTTATCACTAGGCTCTTATAAAGTTTTTATAGCATTTATTACCTTAATTGCATGCATTATACATGCAAACACTTGCACAAAGAGAATGAATATCTGCCAGTCATTCAGTCAGCCAGCAATCCGAGTGCAGCAGCTCTCGACTATTCAAATGCTACTACGAAGGCAAACGCACAACACTCTTCTGCTCTGTTCAGCTCAGCTCTCGAATGTTTGTAGTAATTATCTTCCTTTTTGTTGACACACACACATCCTCTTTGGCTTGCATGTGTAGGTGTGTTGTTGTACATCTTTCTAAACCTCGATTCCATCTTTCTTTGAGATCTGGTTTAATAATTGCAGATTGCATGTGGTTTGCATGACATTCGTGTGTGCTGAAACTTTTGAAATCTTGAACTAATGATTTTAATGACTTCGAATGTGACAAACATTAATATTCAACATCAACATCCAGGCGCGAAACAATCAAAAGTTAAATATTTAATATTGTTTGATGTTGTTGGAGATAGACACTGGAATTACGTAGTTAAGATTGACAACAAGGGGTGTTTTATATATTTTTCAATTAATTTACAAAAGGTGAAGAGGATTAGAAAAAATGTTGATTGCGTACATGTATATGTATAGAAAATTGTATGTTGTATGTTGTGTATGTTTATGAAAGGGTGTGTATAAGTGACTAACTGTTAATCGATGCTTGTGCTAAACGACTGAAGTTTGAATCGTGAAACTTTGTATGTAGGTCACTGCTAATGCGTTCTGAGGTGATCTAATTGATATTAAAGGTACAAAAATTCGACGACACTATTAAATAATAAGAACTGTGTAGGTTTGGTCCACGACAAAAAATGTTTTGAAGTTTAAATATTGTTTAATTTTGAACTAAACCAATCAAAATTATAAATTATTATCATAATTTTCGTATTATTTCGTATTATTACTAAAATGGTAAATAGGTAGAAAGGCTAAGCCAAATGGTGTAAGAATCATTTGTATGTTGTACCAAAATTGTTTTGGTGTACAAAATATGTTACTATTGAAATTTGGTAGCCGAGAAGCAAAGAAATGTATACTAAATTGTACATAAAGGTGCTTAATATTGTATATATTTGATATTAAGTACATCAACAAATGTACATTTTACATATTAACAGGCTACCAATGATCAAAGTATTACTATTGCCTTTTGTAGAGTGTTCTGAAGCTATACCCACTAACTTGTGCAAGTGCCTCTTTTATAATTTGTGGTAACAGTACAAGAAAAGGATAGAGAGGGATATAAAAGGCATTGAAGGTTACTAAAAATTGGATAAAAAACAACTTTCGAATGTTTGTCGCTCTGTCATAAAAAGGTTATCCATTTTAAACTTCTAATATAAAATTTGAAACAATTTGACAAAAATCATCAAACTGCCGAATATTAGGAGGAACAGTTGTATTGGGATTATCCTAAAATTTGGACCCATATGGACGATTCTTTGCAAAGTTGTTCCCTACATACTGAGAATAAAAATTGTCAATTTACAGCCGTTTAAAACTATGACTGAAATATCCAAAACGCCTTAGTTATTCATTACACTTATAAGGGGGCTATACCAAAACATGGACTTATAGCGGCCATTTTCAATAAAAAAAAAACTCTACGGACCAGAAATCTAAATAAAATTTTATTGGATCAAATATATATTTACTTTGTGGGATCTAAGATGGTTCATTCCATGAATGACAACCATAGCATATGTATGGTGATAATAACAAAAAAGATAAAAAAGCAGCTGTATACCCCCACCATTCGAAAGGAACTTGAAAAATTAAAAAAAAAACCATCGAAAAATACCGCTGAAATGAAAACCTTTAAATGGGGCCTATACGAAGACGTGGTAAGTAGTTGTTTGTTATAGGCTGCAGTAAAGATTCGGGACTTTAAACACGAATTCCGAAACAATTCCAACAAATAATTTCGCCGAATAAAGGGAGGTGCTGTTGCATTGGGGCTATACTAAGGCGTGTACCTGCATAGAAAATTGTTCCTTATAGGTTGTAGTACCCATTACGAACTTCAAATACTAAATTTGACGCAATTGTGGTGAATAATGTCGCGAAAATCCTTAAAATACCAAAGATCTTGGGGAGCGTTATATATAACGTAGACCCATATACACAATTCTCTTCCAGGGAGTAAAGTACTCACATGGAACCCCTGGGTTGGATTTTCAGACTATTCCACTGAAAAATGTGGCTAAGATCATCAAAATACCGAATTTTGGGTGGGGGTCACCATTGTATGGGGGCTATACGATATCGTGGACCTATATGGAATGCTCTCTTTCAGGAGGTAAAGTACTCACAGAGAACTCATTGTGTAGAATTTTAGACAATGCCATTGAAGATGTTGCTAAAAGGAGCTATATAGGTTATATAGGGGATATACGATATCGTGGACCTATATAACAGATCGGTGCAAAATTTAAGCTTTCCATTCGCTTTGATTTTAGCGTGATTACAATAGACGGACTTACGGACAGGGCTAAATCGCCATAGGATTTTACGCTGATCAAGAGGATATATACTTTGTTGGGTCTAAAATTATTATTTCGATGAGTTGCAAACGGAATGACGAACTTAATGTACACTCCATACTATGTATGGTGGAGGGTATAAAAAATATTAGATAATAAAAAAGAGTTCCCTTTTCCGACTTTATAATACCTTATATGTATTATTCCGCATATTTAGCAGTGCTTCCTGTAACAAATGTCTTTTGAAACCAAAGGGAACATATATGAGTATGGGAGCAGGAACGAACTCAGGTTAGGATTCTGGGGACTCAATATTCGACCATATTCGGAATGCATACTTTAGTTCCATTATTTTATACATGGGTTTACATGGACTCTGAAAACCAAGTTTGAATAAATGCGTTTCGACTGTCTACTCTTCCATTGCAAACCCTCTTAAGAGGAGTATAGAAAAATGTCTAATGATATTAATAACGGTTCGTACAAATTTACAGGCTATTAGAGTTATAACTATTTTGAATTTTTTTAAAATGTCCACAAAACAGAAAATTAAGAAGATATGCCTTTTTATTTTCCCCCTTACCGTTAAGAAAATTTCCGGACATATTGCATGCAAATTTTTCCGTGAATTTTTCTCTTAGTGTTTCAAACCGACAGAAATCGTAGTTAAAACATATATTTGTATTGCAAATTTAATATAATTGTTTATAAGATATTATTTTACATATATGTATTTGGATCACATTGGACCGTATTTTGAAGAGATACATCTCGTTTTTTTTTTTGATAATTTCAATATTTGTTACACATATTTTTCAATTTGCTTTTATATAATTTAGAATTTTATTTAGTGAAAAAATGGTATATCCCTCTATATTTCCTTTTGATGTTCGTCAAAGGCATATTGCTCGTATAATTTAAATCGATTTTTCAGGATAAAAAATTCTCTCGAATTGCTTTGTTTACTATTAACTTTTTTCCAAGTTCCATTTCAAAACAATGGCATTTGCCAATAACCTTGAAACTTCCCAGTACTCCTGCAAAGGGGATATAAAATGTCTGCTTTCATATATATTCATAATGTCTACCTTTTTTCTTTTCGTTCTCTTTCCCATCAGCAGATTTGAGAGTCCCAAAATTTATCATATTTTCGCAGCACTTTATGTGTTGTTTATATTTGACAAATTATTTTATTTTGTTCTCAAAACGCTATGGGTTTTGTTTTCCATTGTTTTCTCCTGAACATAGGTATGTGTCCCCAGGTTATCATCGTCCATGGAAAGTTAATGGAAATCTTTCAAACACTCGGCACTCACCTGTTGACGATTTTTCCTAAGGTAGTAAAAATATGACAAACAAATAATAAATTTTCTATTTTCCCTCTACTTTTTTTTTTCATTCATTTTGGAAGTGCTGACTCAGAACATTTAAGCTGTCAACCCAGTTGGATATTTCCCAGTACGAATTGAAAAAGTTGTTATCTCTGGTTGGAGGTGTTTTATTTCATAATTGATGTTAAAAAAGGTACAAAACAGGAATGAATGAATGAATGAATTTCAACATGTGGATTTATAATGAATGTGTCCATCACTTGATGATGACATGTCTGCTCATGCCTTGTTTCGTTCGTTGAGTCCCACGTATCGTCGCTAGTGATTTGGGTTTATGAAAAATCATGTTTTACTCCAGTCCACTCCCATAATAAAACTTAGACGCTTCCTTTGTTTGGGTGTCAATTCGAAATAGTGCTGATGTGTGTGTTCGACATTGCGACGAGTGTGAAGTGGTGGCCATAATGAGGTTATGGCCATAACTCTACCAAAACAAATTAAAGAGAATAAAGTTTGAGTTGGAACATCAGAATAAAATTTTAGTTATTGCGATTTACCTCACAAAGCAAATGGCATCGAAGGCTTTTTCTTGCTGATTTATAATTTGTTGGATCTCGCTCTGCAACTGATGTTCGTAAAGCTTTTTCGTGAGGCGATAACGTTCACGGCAAATTAGGGGACTGGAAGTAAACAAGATTTTATGTATTTTTGACAATAAACTTCTTAATTTAATTACTTACTAGGGCGACTTCAACTGATTGAAACTGGGCGAGTTACTGTAGTCAAATTGATCTTTGCACTGCCTTCGAATTGAATCTCGCGAATCTCTTAAGAGTATTCTAAGTTCTTGCGAACTCAAATTTTCTTTGGAACCAATATAGCGTTTTAATACATCGTCCGAAATGTAATCGGAATTGGCAACTTTTTTCAGTATATCAGCTAAAGGTTCTTTGTCTTCGTCAGCTGAATTTCCCACCGATAATTTCTTCCGCAAAGAATTTTGGGAGGAACCGTCAATAGACACATTTTCATTTGATTGTTTTTCACCTTCCATTTTCTTATTTTTTATTAAAAATGTCAACGTGTCAGAAAAAACTGAAGTATGTGCTGGAATGATTGAAGGGTATTGCAGAGGTTAAATTGAATTTCTCACAAAGTAATGATGAACGAAAAAAAAAATTTTAATACTACACTGAAATATATTTAAATATTTCATATCTAGTAATTGTATAAATTCCTAAAAATCGCAAAAAATAATCAAAAAGAAAAAATATATATAATTTGGAAAATTTCCTTCTTCTGGGGGAGGTACTAGTAAGAATAGGCCCATGGTACAATAAGGAGGTAGAACAGCTTCATAAAACTACAGATATACAGCCCTGAGGCTATGCCCGCTTCCTGTCAGAATTGTTCGAAATTATATCCAACAATTTGTTTTCATTTATTTGATATTTTTTGGTTATTTTTCAAATGCATCAAATAGGGCGAAAGATGAATGACATGCCTGGATGTTCTCTCAAAAATATGATCCTTAATGTTCAATCTTTCAATTTCGTGGCAAATTTGGTTAATATCATTATTGCGCGTCCCGCTATTTAAAATTTTGTTTTTATTTTTCAAAACAATAAATGCATACACAAAATTGACAGGATTCGGGCACACTTAGAAAAAATTGTAATCAGCTGGTAGCTCTACCTTACTTTTCTATTGTACCATGAGTAGGCCTACATATTCCATCTTCTTACAAGGTCGGGTGTTAACAGAACTATTATGATGTACCAACTTTGAAAAGAATCTGATGGTCATTTCGCGTTCTATGGCCGCCATGGCTATTCAAAGGAGTACACTGCTATACAGAGTGAGATAAAAAAACTGCAACAAAGTCAAACGTCATAATTTTAACATTTTTTATACCCTTGACCACAAGCTGGTCAGGGTATTATGTCTTTGTGCATTTGTTTGTAACAGGTAAAAAGAAACGAGATAGACATATAGTTCCTTTTGATGATCTGCATAGAATCCGTCCGTCTGTCCATGTATTATTATCCGATTGAGATGAAATTTTCCTAACGACATTTGTTTGGCCCAAGGACGAACCCTATTGAAATTGGAGATAATCGTTAAAAATTTAGATATAGCTCCCATATATATCTTTGTCCGATTTGCTTTTTATTGTGCACCAAACTTGTAATATCAGCCCGAATAGTACGAAATTTTCCACATACAACCAAATTAGGCCTGAAAATAAGTATGCCAAATTTGAAATTTCGAAATCGGTTCAGATATACCTATAGCTCCCATATATATTGTTCTTCCGATTTGTTATTTTTGTCCTCCGCAGCCGTAATATGCACTCTTTAACAACAATATTTTCGGAAATATATCAAATGCAGCTCAGAAATACCTTTGCTAAATTTTACCGAGATCGGTTCAGATTTGGATATAACTCCCATATATAACTTCGTCCGATTTACATTTTATTGTGCACCAAACGTCTAATATTTGCCCAAATGGGATGGAATTTGCACATACGACCGAATTGAGTCTAGAAGCTAGTATGTCAAATTTGATGAAGATCGGTTCAGATATAGCTGCCATATATACTGTTCATCCGATTTGTTATATTTGTTACAAACAGCCATAATATGCACTCCGTAACAACGATATTCAGGGAAATATATCAAATACAGCTCAAAAATATCTTTGCCAAATTTTATCGAGATCGGTTCAGATTGGGATATAGCTCCCATATATATATTTATCTGATTTCAAATTAATTTTGCACCAAATGGGCAATACAAGTCCCAATTTAAAAGATGCAAATGCTTTAAATTATAATTATTATCATAGCGTGTATGATTGAATTCTCCCATAAAAACTTTTATTTGTTATGCGGAGCTCTACTAAATTAGCAAAGTGGTGTAGGGTATCATGAAGTCGACCCCGCCCGACTTTAGGACTTTTTTTACTGGTTTCTTAAAATTATATTGAATGAAAGCACAAAAATGTCGTAAATAGTATCAAATTTTAGAATAAGTTTAGATTTGTTAGAATTGGTCACCTTTGGCACGAGTTATGGCCTTCAAACGGCCAATGAAACCGTCACATGCTGCCCGAGTGTTGCTCAGCGGTATTTTTGACCATTCCCGACGAAGCTTTAGAAAAAAAAATATTTCTGTACAATTTTTAGTCCAAATGGTGGGATTCTTGGTATATTTCATAAAAATTACAAAATGCTTTTATTACTTATTTTTTTATTGGAAATTTTATTATCTTATTCGTAACTGCAAATCCAGGCATTTCACCAAAATTTATCTTTGCGTCATAATTTTTTTAAATCTCGTTATAATCCATGGATATAGGAAAATATGTATTTTGTTTTTAAATAATATAATTGTTCTTCCCTGTGTAATGTGATATAACATCCAAGAATTCTGTCCCAACATTAAGTATTGCTGTTCATTCTTATCTAATTCAATTGACATTTTCTTATGGAATTATTGAAATATTCAACAGATTTACACATTCCACAAATGTTTCAATTTAAATCCTCTAAATAATTTCCTTTGAAGATTTCACGAAATCTTTATTTGCAAGTTGTCGTAGATGTGTGTGTTTATGTGTGTGTGTGAACATTAAGTCACAAAAATTGAAATATGTTTCACAAGAATACGAGACAATATTTGTCTTTTCAAGTAATTGCTGAGTAATTGTAGATATGTATTTACAGAGAACAACAGCAGCAACAACAATTTGGCCATTAAGTCAGATGTTAATTAAACAAAACGAATAACATTGGACATTGGGAATCCAATCAAGGCAAGATACCCAACAGACTGACTGACTGACGGACCGGCCGAGCAACTAACAATCCGTCCGTCCATCCATCCATCGTTCGTCTCTCTTCTGATTCTTGTTGTTCTGGTAGTAATGTTGTGGTCAAAAGTTAAAGTAGATTTTATATAATTAAGACACACAATGTAACACCATGTTTGTATGTCGGTGTGTTGGTGTACTTTTATGAGTTAAGCATATGTGTACATATTTGTTAAGCATATATAAGCAAACACCTTTAGCTAACCAACATAATATTTATGGATATATTTGCCCCAAAGTAATTTAATATTTAAAGTAAACCATTACACGGACGTTATCTGATAACGGAGTAATGTGTTTGTGTATCTGTGTGAGTGTGTGTCTGTTTGGTTGATAGAAGAGGATTAGCAGATATTACCATTGAACTATTAAACAATATGCAATTTACTGTAGTCACAAAAAATTAAGTAAGCTTAAAAGGCCTAGGTAAGTTTTAAAGGATGATTTCTTCCGAGTGGGTGGAATTCGTTTTGGAAGAAAATCTCAAAAAGGATCCACTATTCGATTTGAGCGCAGCAAGAATTGGGCTCATTTCGTACGACTGTTTTTCTCCATAGAGAATGTTCTCCCAGCATACAAACAGACAGATTACCTTTTTATGCGGTTTGTAAGATGCAGAAGAAAACGAAATAGACCAATAGTTCCTATTAATGACCATCATAAAATCACATTATGAGTCGATCTATGCATGTCCGTCCGTCTATTAATGAATTATTGTAAGCAAATTACAAGTCGCATCTTTTATTCGATTGAGTAGAAATTTTGCACGGAGCATCTGTTTGGTCCAAGGGCGAATACTATTGTAATTGGTGATAATCAGTCCAAATTTAGATGTAACTTCCAAATATATCAATAACCGATTTTACGTATATTGTGCACCAAATGCGTAATATATACCCAAACTAGATAAGTTTTAGGATACACTACAAATGTAGCCTGGAAAAATTGGTGGAAATCGGTTAAGGTATAAATATATATATGGGAGCATTTTATGTTTCATCCGATTTAATATTTAAGTCACCCGAAGGCGTAGTTTATAATCTATAACAATGAGATAAGATATGAGATAACAGATACAACCTAGAAACACCCTTGCCTAATTTTGAGAAAATCGGTTCAGATTATACATATGTTTCATCCGATTTAATATCCGCCGCAGCCGTAATGTACACTCCATAATAATGATTTTTGGTATAAGATATTAGGTTCAGCTTAGAAATTCCTCTGCCAGAATTTTCATATATTTTGAGTTTTTTTTGGGGAAGTTTCGATATACCGGGGGCCAATATTTATACCCTACACCACACTGTGGTCAGGGTATTATGTCTTTGTGCATTTGTTTGTAACATAGAGAAGGAAGCGAGTTAGACCCATAGTTCCTTTTGATGATCTGCATAGAATCACATTCTGAGTCGATTTATGCATGTCCGTCCGTCTGTCCATGTATTTTTGTAAAGAAAGTTCAGGTTTGCACTCCACATCAAAGATATTTGGTACCAGATATCTTACAGAGCTCAGAAATAGCTCTGCTAAATTTTATGGAGATCGGTTCGAATTACGATATAGCTTCCCTATATATCTTCAACAGATTTCGGGTTAATTGTGTACCAAATGGCCAATATATCATGACTTGAATTTTTACCCATCCGACCGAATTCAGTCTAGAAGCTAATACATCAAATTTGGTAAAAATCAGTTCAGATATAGCTATAGCTCCTATATAAATATATGTTGCAACCGATTTGGTGTTTAAGTCCCCTACATTCGTATTATGCACTTCACAACAATGATATTTGGTATCTTATAAAGCTCAGAAATACCTTTGCCAAATTTTATCGAGATCGGCTCAGGTTTTGATATATCGCATATACATATATCCTTAATACGATTTAAAGTTTATTGTGCAAATAATGGCTAATATCCGCCCAAATGGAGTGAGTTTTCATTTGATGGAACTCGGCTACGATATAATATATAATAATATAATCCTTCTCGATATCATGCCCTCTATAGCAATGTTATTTGGTATAATAATAATATATATAGAAATATCTCAAATATCAAATATCTCAAATTTGGTGAAAATCGATTCAGAATTCGATTTGCCTCCCATATATAATTGCTCCCTCTGAAACCATATTATGACTGCTATAAAGCCAAAGGTTGATAGGTCGAATGATCTACTTCAAACAAAAATTCCCAATGTAAATTATTTTGTTACGAGAGCTTTACTAGCTAAATATGCAAGTGGTG